GGGGGGGCGGGGGCCAGAGAGAAAAAGGCAAGAGAGACAAAGAGAGAAAGGGGGAAGCGCGTGGCGGTGGTGGGCAAAAGGAAAAACGGCAGCAGGATTGGCAGGAAAGGAAACAAAAGTGGATCAGCCAAGGAGACGACCTATAGCGACGGGAAACACGTATTACAAGGTTTGGATATATGTTGCGCATGGGCACGTCTTCCCGTGGCGGCCTTCCTTTTGAGGGGCGCGCATAGGTTCGTTGGTACATTACCGCGAATGCCCAAAGCTCGCCAGGCACCTGTGGCACGAGCGCCGGTATCTAATACTGTAACGCCGTTAGTTGGGGAAACCACCGAACGGTGGGAAAATGACCCCGAAACTGTTACGTAGGCGAACAAGGGATGTCAGTCACGTCCCGCCAAATGGACCAGTATGCTTCCATCACATGCCGACCAACACCAACGCGAGCATGCACAGACCGGGGGCCGGCCGGCCCGCGAAATCACCTGATGCAGGTAGTCCGGGCCCAGGTCTCTCGCCATCTTGGCGAGGGTATCTCTGGCCGTGTCGCGGGCGTTGGAGTCCCTCGACTTGAGGCTCTGGCACACGGTCATCAGCAGGGGCTTGAGCTGCAGCTCGAACGCGTCCGTGGGCAGCCTCCGGATGAGGTTTAGCATGCCCACCGCCACCGGCGCACGGAGCACCTTCTCCTTGCCCCCGGACTTCCCGCGGACTTCTTTGACGAGGAGGGAGCGGAGAGAGCCCAGCAGGCGATCGTTAACGGCGCGCCACACCGCGTCGCCCCCCCCTGCCACCATCTCCGCGGGTGCCACCGCGCTGCCCCCGTTCGAGACGACCGCTGCCGTGGAAGAAGAGGGTTCGGCGGCGGCGGAAACGGCGGCAGGCTCGGCGACGACGTCGGGCGGAATCAAAGCGAAGTGGAAGCCGTCGAGCACCTGGCACACGGCGCCGATCATGGCCCGCTCCTTCTCGGGGCTGTGGCTGTCCGACTCGCCCTTGCCGCCGGCGACCTGCTGCATGAGCCCGCGCAGCGCCGAGTTGTAGTGCGTCCACGGGAGGTGCCTCGCGATGGCGCCCACCAGCTGCACCGCCTGGCCGACCAGCCCGGCCTCCGACGACTTGGCCGCCTCGTGCAGAGGATGAAGCGCCAACGGGAGGAGAAAGTGGACCAGGGTAGACACGCGGAACGGGCCTCCGGCCGCCCCTGCCGCCGCTGCCGCAACAGCCGCCGTCTGTCCTCTTCCTCCTACCGGTGCTTGCGGTCCCCGACCAGCAAGGCCGGAAGGTTCCTCTTCTACTGCGCCGATTGGGCGGCCGACGGCCGCTTCCGCAGCCGCCGAAGCGGCTTCGAAGTCTTCGATCGCCTTCCTGGCCTTCGCGAGAGCTCGCGCCCGCCGGTGCACCTGCATGTGGCAAGCGTTGAGGAAGAAGTCCGACTCGGGATCGTCCGCCCTCGCAAGGGCCCAGAGATCGGTCGGCACTACGGCCGCCGCCCCGACCCGCTCCCCTCTTCCGTCACCACCACCGCCCCCGCCGCCGCCGCCGCAGCCGCCGCCGGCCGCCGCTGCCTGGTAGACGGACACGGTCTCCCGTAGCAGCGAGATGTAGCCCTTGCGCACGGCCTCCACGCGGCACGCCATCCCCGCCCTGAGCCCGGGCATCACCACCGTGCGCATCAAGCCTTCCCAGGGGCACCGCACCGTCGCCGTCGTCGTCACCACCACCGAGGTTGAATCTCGGCCCGCCGCCGCCGCCGACTCCCGCACGAGTCGCTTGAGCGCCGCCCCCGCCGCTCCCCTGAGAGCCACCTCCTGATCGTGCATGGCGTGGAGGCAGTGCTGCGCGACAGGGGTCGCGGCGAGAGCGCCGCCTAGCGAACCGGCAGCAACAACCTCCTCCCCCGCCCGAACCGGCACCGATTCCGCCGCCCCACCTGCCGCAACGATGTCCGCCCAACCGGTCCCCTCGGACAGAGAGTTGAAGGCCGGCACGACGCGGCCGAAGTCCGGCTCGTCGAGAGCCACCGCGTCCCGCGCGTTCAGCTCGGCGACGAGGGCCACGGCGGCCGCCGCCGCCGGCGCTAGGTCCGGCCGCCCCGCCAACGCCTCCAGCGCGCGCACGAGCTCCCCGCGCGGGGCCGCGGCAGCCATGCCGGACGGCCGCGCGCCCGCGGGTCCCAGCAGGCGGGAGAGCGCCGGCCAAGCCTTGCGGGCGCCCGGGGAGTCTACCCGCAGGCCCAGCGCCGCCACCGCCCGGAGGATCGAGATCTTGGCCTCGTCGGACCCCCGGCGGTGGTCGGGCTGGAGGGACGGTATGAGTAGGGCGACGAGCTTCGACATGGACGCGGGGTCCACGGCCCCACCGCCGCTGCCGAGAGGGGGGTCGGAAGAAGTCGCCATTTCGGCGACCCGGGCGAGAATAGCGAGCCCCTGCTCGGTGTGAAAGTCTAACCCGCGGACGCCACCACCGGAGGCGTCGCGTACGCTGAGACGCGCCGCGAAGTTGGAGATGAGGTGGTTCAGGTGGGGGCCCAGGAGGGAACCGCCATCGTGCCGCAGCAGCCGCTCCACGAAGGTCAGCGCCGACCCCACGACTGCGGGACCGGCGACGCGCCCGCTCGCGCTGCCCGCCGAGATGCAGTCCAGAACGGCCGGGATGAGAGCCTCTCCGCCGCCGCCGCCGCCGCCGCCGGTCGACGACGGCGACAACATCGGCAGCAGCGCCTCGCTCTCGGACAATGTCTCGGCGAAGGCGAGCAGCGCGGGCTTCCTCGTGGCGCCGATGGTGGAGGCCGGGAGGCGGGCGATTGGGCCGGCGAGGGCGGGCCACAGGGCCCGGCTGTGGGCGGCGAAGTCGAACGTGGTCGAAAACTGGGAGAAGAGCTCTGACAGCGCGCGGAGGCACAGGGTGCGGAGCGCCCCTGGAGAAATCTTCCCTGTTGAAAGATAACGCCTTCCGGCGACAACGGAAGAGGCGGCCGGAGTCCCACCGGCCTCGTCGTCATCGTCTACTTCCTCCTCGTCCTCGTCCATGTCGCCTGCCTGGTTGTTGCTGCTGCTGCTGTTGCCCGGGTCGGCGTTGCGCCGGCCGGCTTCCGACGCGGCGTTCGAGTGCTCCAGCAGGACGAGCACCAGCCCGAGCACCCTCTCGACGTACGGCAGCGCCTTCTGGCCGAGCTGCTTCGCCACCTCCCTCACCATCTTCAGGAACCCGGCCTGCCGAGACGCCGACACGCCCCCGACGCGCGCCTGGGTTATCCCGGCCGCCCTCTCCAGCACCCGGACCGCCCTCCCCACATCCTCCGCCTCCTCCCACTCCGCCGGCCCTTCGTCTCTCTGCTCCTCCTCCTCCTCATCCTCCACCTCCTCCTCCTCCGACGATGACGTCATAACCGCAGGGGTAAGAAAAGGGCGGACCATCAGCGCGAACAGCTCCGAGAGCTCCTCGGAGGCCAGGCCGGAAAGAAACGCCAGCACCGCCGCGCGCCGAGCCGCGGGGCCCCCGTGCCCCCCGGCGCGGCCGCGAGACCCCGACGCGGCAAGGCGGCCGTAGACGAGACGGATCACTACGGGGATGAGGCGCGGCCGGTGAAGGGGGTCTATTGTAGCGGGATCGGCAGCGGCCGCCGAGCCCGAGGATATGATGGACAGGTCGCCGATGCCGACGGTGCCGGCAACCTCGCTTTCGAGCGAGAACGTCACCAGCTGGTCGCGAAATGTCTCGTCGTTCATCAGGCCCTCGAGGTTCGCCTGTGACAAGCAGGGAGGGAGGGTGGGGGGGGGCACTCATGTAAACGCATGCCGTAGTCAGTAGCATGCCGTAGTCAGTAGACCACTGGAGGGGAGGGCACAAGCAGAGGGGTATGGTGCAGAGCGCCAGAGAGAATGGTCCCACTGACCTGAAAAATTGAGTTGAGTTGAAATGTTTATCATACCGAGCCATCAGCATCAAAGGTTTATTTGTCATTGAAGAGGCGGCTGGAGGTACTGACCCCGAAAATCATCCGCGATAACAACAGCGACGGTCAACAAACACTCCGTACCACAGTAGAACCAGCCTACAAAGAGCTGATTATTTGCCCGGTATTCTTCAAAGGCGCTTGCTTACCTTGTACGGCACCAGGTACGGAGGCCTGTACGCCAGCATGCACCGCAGCGCCAGCCCGGCCACCTTGTCGTCTGGCATGACCATCAGCGCCCGATACACCCCGAACAGCACGCGCTGCTTGTACAGGCTCTTCGGTCCCGGCGCAGCGGCAAAAACACCGAGCAGGGCCACCAGCCGCCCCCGCACGCTGCGGCGATCGGCCGTCCTCCCCTGCCCTCCCCCGCTTTCACCCTTACCCCCCCTTCGCACCACGGGGCCCCAACCACCGGGCCCCTCGCTGGCGTGCTCCGACGGCGTCAGGTGCGAAGAAACTCCTACGGCGCGGGTTTCAGGGTCGTCGGGGAAGGCGGCGTCCCCGAGGTACTGGTACTGCATGAACCCCAGGAAGAGGGGGACGACGGTGCGGCTGTGCTGCTGCAGGAGCTCGGGGCACTGCGAAAGGACCCCCCACACCTGAGAAAGACGTCGTTTGGCGGGGGGCACTCGTGTTTTTGCATGTTGGGTGTGGAGTGGGGGTGCAGAATAGACGACAGGTATCGGAAAATGGTCACGCGTTCTAGACAAAGTAACAGGCGATCGGCATCAACTAGTCACAAAACGGTCACACCTTTGGAGCACTCTCACTCGGTGATCACGCCTGAACAAAAAACAAGTACGATACTCCCTGACAAACACTGCTGCGATCATTCGTCGGCAGCAGAAAAAAAATCTGGACAAACGAAAAAAAAGCACGTCGAGAGACGTCAAACTCAGACTGCGTACAAACAAGTCCACCATCACATCTCGGCAGCAGAAGAAGCATTTGAACCACAACACCTAAAAAACGTCGAAAAAGGACGACGGAAGATGGCATACTTGGCACCGAGCCAAATCACCTGCGCGAACGCCGAATCGGCGTCGGTGCTCGCCCACAGCGGCACCTCGCCCGATTCCGGCTGGAGCCCGGTCCTGACGGTCTCGTCCCGGAAGACGCCCTGCAACGCCACGGGTAGGTCCATCTCCTCCGCGGGGCCCCCGTCAAGCGCCGCCGCGTGGGGCAGGAGTCTGGGGACCCAGGGCTTCGGCGGGGGTGTCGCCGCTCGCAGCCCGGAGGAGGGTCTCGGCTGCTGCGGATGATGATTTACCGGCTCGACGTCGTTGCTACACTCATCGTCGCCGTTTTCAGGGCCTTTGGTAGGCCCAGCAGCAGCTCTGATTTCAGCAGCGGTCTCTTTGGACTGATCCCCTGCTGCTGCTGCTGCTGCTGCTGCTGCTGCGTCGTCACGTTGTTGCTGATTTTCCTCGAGCCTGGTCACAAGAACAGCCCGCTGTTGCTCCTCAAGCGCGGCCGCCACCTCCTGGCGCGTGGCCGGCGGCGGCATAACCTTGCGGAGGGCCGCTCGCACCGGCTCCCACACCACCTCGCGCTGGTGGGACCTCCTGTAAAGCGCCGATACTATCGCCACGGCCCGCGGCCACACGGCCGAGAACTTTACCCGCAGCAGGCCGAGGGCGTGGGTGGCAAGCAGGCGGGCATACGGGCGGGGCAGCCGGCCCGAACGGCCCAGCACCTCCAGCTGACCCAGCCTCCACATGAGGTCCCGCTCTGCGGCAACGGACACCGGGAGCGCCTCTACCGCCTCCGCCAGCTCGAGAAAGCTGGACTCGCCCTGGCTTTGCCGCGGCAAGCCTCCTCCTGCTGCTGCGGGTTCTTCCGTCAGGGGAAGCGGGTCGTACCGTGCCAGTACCCGTACCGTGGAAAGGCGGATAAGGCGGCTCTCCGAGGCCAGGTTGGGCTCGAGAAGGGAGATGATCGGTAAGGAGGCGTCCGCCGAGAGGCAGGGGGGGGGAGCGCCGTCGCCGCCCGCGGCGGCGCGGATGGCGCGGAGAAGAAGAGCCACCGCGCGGAGGGTTGAGATGGAGGAAGGGCAGGCCCTCAGCCACTCCATGGCCCTGGTGATTTTTGTTAGGGTGCACAGACGTGTGGAGGGTGGGGTGTAGGTGGTTGAGAAAGACGTGGATCTAGGATTGAGATACCAAAGTGTCACTGCTGTGTCGCGGCACTTCAGGTTTCTGGTCGAAATCTACAACACACCATCTGGTACGATATCGTCCAGCATCTTGTCTCCTTACACCGCCGTGTGCTTGTTCAAGTTATATCGTTTCCTTCCGAAACATGCACTACTGTAGCGTCCGTGCCTTAAGGAGGGACAAACAAATGCACACAACCGCATCCACAAGGAACGACCACGCGCATGCACGTCGTGCCAACACTTTTTTCCTACACACCAAACAATTGTGTGCGGTGCCAATAAATCTACCCTGTTGTAGCTCTGTTCCACATTTTACACCGAGGAGAACCCAACCCGCGCTCCGATAATCCCATCTCCTACCTTCCATGCCACCCCACCAGTCTCTCAAGCGTCTCCTTCCGCGCCGACCCCTTGTCCCCCCCCGGCAGCAAGCAGCACAGGCCCACTCCAGCCTCCAGGGTGTACGCTCGCAGCACCTTGAACTCGTCGCCACGCCCCTCTCCGCCGGCTTGATCGCCGCCCCCACCGCCCCCGCCGCCGCCATCACTACCAACACCACTTGATCCCTCCAAAGCCGTACCGGCGGCGGCGGCCGCGCCGCCGCCGCTCTTACCCTTACCACGCTTGCGGCGCTTACGGCCGCTACCGCTGACGGGGTCTGCCGCCGGCGTACCTGTACCCTGGGCAACTGCAGAGGGCGTTGGGTTCTCCGAGCCGGCGTCGGTGCCGTCGAGTGCAGTCGAGCACGCGGCTAAGAGCGCGTCGATGGCGCGAAGCGGCGGTTCGGCCGCCTCCCGCCTGGTGCTTGCGGTCGCCGCGAAGCTTCCCACGAGGACGGGGAGGCAGCGGAGGGCGGCCACGGCCCGCGAGGCTTCCGCGGGAAGGACACCGTGTGCCGATGGCGAGCTGCTGCTGCTGTTGTCGTCGACAGTGCGGGGGGATAGAGTGGAGGCGGTCTTGTTCAAGTTCGTGTGAGGTTGTGTGGGCACCGCTAATCGGCATCGGGAAGCCGGTGTCGCCGTTTAAAAAGGTAGATTGTGCACCGCGCGCAGCAGCAACGGTGTCCGTATGAAAGCGGTATGAGTGTCTGCAAGAATAAAACTGTACTCGGAGAAGGCGTCAGATGCAAACAACTGGTAACACGCAAGTGATCCACCTGTGGTGTTGCTCACGAAAAAACAAATGTGTGGTACGTACCTGGAATGAGAGCCTTTCAATGACGTCGTCGCGAGCTCCACGCTGGCGCAGCAGACATCCACTAGCTGTGACACCAGCAACACGGAGGAGGACAGGGGGGGGGAGGGGGTTGCAGGCTTCGGCATGTAGCACCGAGAGCAAAAACACGAAGTAGCAAGAACGAAATGTGGGACCAAAACAAATTGGCTCAACTTGAAGGGGTTGCAATTGCACACCTCGGCGTGTAGCAGAGAGCAAAAGCACACACAGCGGACAGAACGGAACTACTTTAACGCTTGAGGCACGGGGTACGATCCAAGTCTGGCACCAAAAGTTGGGTGCACCACAAAACGGCAAGGTTAGCAAGCCTTTGTAACACAAATCCCTTTGACTCTCGGCCAGAGCTCTACTCTTGGGGTCTCCGCACACCACTCGCCGGGAGAGGCACACGTCGCGTCACCAAACACACCTTGTGTCCGTCAGCAACCCCTACGGGCAAACACCCAGGGCCTTCCGCCCCGACCACGGAAGCCAGCGCTCCGACGACCCACCCCCCCTCCTCCTCCTGCTCCTCCTCCTCCTCCATCTCGCTTAGATCGTCATCCCGGCAGACTTCCGCGCGTCTCCCTGCCCCGATGCCACTGACCTTGTCTCCTGCAAACACCAGCCCCACCCCAGTGCCGTGAATCACTCGCACCAGCACCTCGAGGGCGACCCCCGCCTGCCCGGACAGAGGCCCCGAGCACGCTTCCAAAAGGGGGGGGAGGGCGACCGCGCGGGTCACGCGCATGGGCGGGGGCTTGTTCTCCGTGCGCTCGGCACCGACTCCACCAAGAAGGGACCGCGACAGCGCCAGCGCAGGGTGGGTGTCTACGGCTACCAGAGACTCTACCGCCGCTGTGGTGCTGTCGTCTGCCCTACGCTCCCCGTCTACAGGGACTGGGGGGGCGGCCGACGCCGCCGCCGCCGCCGCCCGGATCACCCTCGGCATTACCGTTACGAGGCGCTGCTGCTTGTGCAGGCCGCACAAGGAAACGGCCAGGAGCTCGACCACGGCCCTCCTACACCCGGGGGAGGTCCCCGGCTGCCAGAAGAACTCCGGAGACGTCAGCTCCGCCAGGGCCTCGGCGAGCAGCGCCGCCTGCTTCACGCCGATGGCCTCCTCTCGCAGGAGGATGCCGCCCATGTGGCCCACCGCCTGGGAGAGGAGGTCTGCCGTGCGGCGGACGGCGGCGCACTCCGCGCTCTCTTCTTGGTCGCCGCTGCCGCCGGTAGGCGGGGGGCGGAGCGGCAGCGAGGCCCGGTGCCGCGCCGCGGCGGTGCCAAGGCCGTAGTGCAGCTCCAGCCACAGCTCCGCGCTGTGGGGGGAGCGGACGTGCTCGACGAGGAGGGCGAGGACAGCGCTTGCCAGCTCGAAGCACCAACCCCTTTCCAGCTCCTTTCGCCGACTGTGGTTGTCCTCCCCTCCCGCCCGTTCCCCTGGAGGACGTGCGTTTGTGTCCGATAGCTTTGGCGGCAGAAGAGAGTCCAGCAGGACTCTCAGCAACACGGGAGCCTGGGCGCAACGACAAAGGGCAACAACAAATAAGGCCGCAAAAAAAATAGCAGCATACTGGGTTTTGCTGTTTAACGAAACTACTATTTCTCAATCGCGTCCATCCTCCTACTTGCTTCTGTGCGTGCTCCCACCCACCCCTACCTGAGAATGTGTTCGTCCGTGTACCCCCTTCGCAGAGAAGAACAGAAGCTGGCTGCACCCGTCCAACGTGTCCGCCCTCAGCCTCCTCGCCCCCGCCTCCGCGCCCGCAGCAGCCTCGACGCTCCCAGCCGCGAGAGCCCCGACCAGCTGCTTCGCGTGCCGCCGCATGGCCTTCGGCTTCAGTCGCCGCACCGCGGGCGCCAGCGTCTGCGCCGCCATCTTCCTCGCGAAGTCTCTCTTGTGCCCCAGGAGCGGGGAGTAGAGCGCCCTCACGGCAGCCATATCCTTAGACAGGGGGCGGGCCACGAACTTGAGGAGGAAGCCGAGGCAGCGGAGGACCCGGCCGCAGATCTCGGGGGAGACGTCGGGGGACGCTATGAGCCCGATGAGAGCGGTGGACACCCGCGGGAAGTGCGGGAAGAAGGAGCTCTGGAGGTCGCGTGCTAGGACCGATAGCAGCTGGAGGGTCTCCTCTCCGGCCTGACTTAGTGGAGGAAGAGCGGTAGGGCAGGGAGGTGTGATGATTTTTTTTTGTACCAGGTGTTTATCAGGTCAAGAGAATCAAAACCGGATGGGAGCTGGGGCGAAACCAAAAAGTGCTGCCACCATGGCTGCGGTGAGGAGGGAAGAGAGGGAGGCACACGAGGCGCTGTTGGTTGGCTTTGCGATGCCAATGACTAGACAGCATACCACGGAGCAAGTTGAGCAACGAACGGCTTCAACACAAGGCGCCTTTCAAGCTAGCAGCGCCCCGGTGAGGCGTACACTGCACATAGCACATCACGTGCGGTACAAAACGTGCAGCAAACTACGTACCACACGGTACGAACAATCCGCCCTCGAACGTGCGTAGTTTGTCAAATGCTGCAACGGGGGCATTTTCAAAACACGGCATCGCTGCAGCTGTCCCGAAACCCGACTCTGGTGAATGACAGCAACTTTGCGGAGTGCCTGCGAGAGGTGGTGCTGATGGGGTACCCAACTGCCCGCGAAAGGACATGTTGTACGCTGTGCACCTGTCCGGCGTATCTGATGCGCCATCAGTCAAGGTGCCCTAAATAGCAGAAGCTACCACCCCCCTGGACCGATTTTCAAATCACGATTGCTCTGCAGCAAACTACAATGACGGTGTTGGTTATGGCAGCTTTGGAACTGTCTCGTTGTCGAGAGCTCTCCAAAAACGTGTGCAGGCCATTTGCCTTTTGGCACCCTCTTCGTCGTGGAGCATCATAGTCGAGCTTTGACCATCGGTTCTTGTAGGGGGATGTCGCACCTTGTGGTCCGCCCCATGGCAGCACATGCACACCCTGCGGAAAGCGGGTGTTACAGGATGCGACCATGCATGGAAACGCAAAAAGTGCCGAAGCAGCGGGTGGTTTTGGCCTCACCTGAGTCACCACAACAGGGTCCTCCAGCAAGGCCAGCAGCATGTCAACCACCGCCGGGGCATGGTGCAGGAGCTCCGGCAGAGATTGGACCAAAGGCCAGACCTGTCGTACGGCAGCAGGAGAGGTGGTTCGTGGCCTGATGAGGACAAGCTTGAGAGCACGCGAGAGACTCAACTGCTGCGCGATGACTCTGGGAAGACAAGCTCTTACGTGAGAGGATGTTGCAGACAAGCAACTTGCTGTGTCGGACTGCAGCTGTACATGCATGTCGCCTCTCTCTCCGCTACGCAGCAGTTGTACGGCTTGGTGTCGCAGCGGCGGCAACGACAACGAAGAAAGAGGGATCGCATGACGAACTGGGAGAAGCTGTACAATGCAGCAGCAGCAACACAGCAGCTACAGCAGCAGCAGCTACAGCAGCAGCAGCTACAGAAGAAGAAGCTACAGGAGCAGCAGCTACAGCAGCAGCAGCAGCAGCAGCAGCAGCAACAACACTGAACAGCAGCCACCGGGCCTCTTTGCCATACACCACATGCAACCCACCTTGTAGTAGAAGCGCTTGAACGGTGGCGTGACGTTCAGCTCCTTGCTTCGGTCAAGCTCCTGCTGGAAGAAGGAGCCGCCCTCCACCTCCGGGTTCTGCGCTTTGTCGGCGTCGAGGAACCCCTCGGCGCGAACCTTGTGGGCCACGTCCACATCGATGCGCTTCGCCCTCGCCTGCTTGCCCTGAAACTTGAATCGATTGCTGCCACCCGTGGTGTTGAGGCCCTTCTGGCCAATTCCATATCTGTCGTCCATGCTCCGCAGGACACCCCCCGGCGACCCCCGGCTATGTTCTAGGCGAGAATAACGTCCCGTGCAGAGTCCCAGATCGTTGGTGCTCTGTCAGAGCGGACAAGCGCACAGCAGCTGTGGAGTTGGTTGCCTGAACCACCCACACGATACGACACCCGGAAAAACGCGGCGCAATTGTTCGGAGTTGCACGTATTTCGCATGTCATCTATTGTACAGTCCCGTCGTCGCACGTTTTTTACGTCCGCTCCTCTGTCCCTCCTCCTGCGCTGCCCAGCGCACCGCGGCCTGACGATCTCCTGCTAACCGCGCGGCTGCGGTCTTGTGAGAAGATGAAGCGCTGCCGATTCGTTTCCATCGAGATCTTGGTGATGCTTTGCTTCGCCGCGGTTGCTCTTGCCTTCCAAACAGCGGTCCGACTCAGCGCTGGAGACTCGACCGCTCCTCCAGCGGCTTGCTCAGACGGCAGGTTGACTTCATCAACTAGAGCACTCATCCCCAACTCATACAGGCCCGCGCGCTGGTGCTGGACTCGTGTCGCCAGTAGAGACGAAGGTAGTAAGAACAGCAGAGTGCTCATGATGGGGAGATCAAACCGCCTGAAGACCGTGATTGCCAGGCAACGCAACCTTGAGAAGAGCAACGCGCCGGTGATCCTCTCCGAGAAGGCCAAACGAAAGGCCAAGCGCGAGAGACGGGCTTACTTCCGAGAGAGGTACGCGTGCTCGGGTCGTCGCCTGATAAAGCTGCAGCAGGAGGACCCTGAATCGTTGTACATCGGATTTGTTGGGACGAATGGTGCTGGACGAGCTCAGGCGCTCGGGGCGGTGGAAGCCTACCTCAAACGGGCGACGGAGTTCAAGGTGTAGTCTACAGGAACAGTCGGACTCGTAACCGCCACCCAGCACTGTCCTACAGCAGCGTGTCTTCTGTCCTACAGCGTATGTGGTCTGTCCTACAGCAGTATTCCGTTTTATCATGACGTGGTGAACAAGGTAGAAGGGAGCGATAGTAGTGACTTGCGACAGAGTTAAAGGTACAACAGTTGGCCGGACGCATAAGCGCCAACCCCCACCCAACCAGCAGATGTTTGTGTGTACCAGAATGTCGTCAGTCCCATACAGCAGTTTTTTTCCCGTTTGTATCATGATGTCGTCAACAAGATAAAGGGAGCAAGTAGTGAATTGCAACGGAGTTCCAGGTACAGCACTTGGGCCCGTAAACACGAAGGCCCCCAAAGGCGGTGTTGGTCTGTCTTGCAGCATTCCTAGGCATATATATATATATCATGGTGTGGGATCAACCAGGTTGCCCATACTCATTTGGTATTGTAGTGACTTGCGAATAGAGTTGCGAATAGCCAACGGTTACACTCGCGCATGTGGCTGAAAAAGATAGCGCACATCAGTATGATCGATATATCGCTTGATAGAGTTCAAGTTTGTGTGAAAACAAGCCCTTCTCCTGTAGCGTGCTGTGCGTAATTGATGCCGGCTCTCTCCCTGTTTGTTCTGCTAGGATATTCTACATATCTTGACAAAGATAAAGATGTGTGTGGTTTTTCATTCCATGTACGATGTGTGGCAACCCTCCATTCTTGCGATGAGTTAAGACAAGTAGACCTTCAATACTAACGAATGCCGAGCGCCTGAAATTGATCACGTTGCTCCTGAACTCTGCGTAACAGGTCGCGAAGCACCACAAGGGCAACGCGAAAATTAAGCTTGTGGACGCGGGAAACATGTGTTTGTCGGAGATGAAGGGCAAGGGCGAGCGAAAGTTGAGCCTTCTACGGCACTGTGACCTCCTCGTACACGTGGTACGGTGCTTCGATCTGTTCGAGCCGAAGCCGTTCAAACCCTGGAGGGGGGCAGGGAGGGAGGAAGACCGACCGGGTGACGAGGTTGACGAGGCACCCGCAACACAACTGCTGTCGAATCTGGGAGGGGGGGTTAAACAGGGGGGCGGGGATGGTGAGGAAGTAGAGGAAGAAATCGACTGGCCGCTTTCCCCAACGCCGCTGGAGGACATCAAGGAAACGAGGGCTGAAATGGCCTACGCCGACCTTCAGTTTATCGAGGAGAGGCACAAGTAAGTCGGAAAACCCTCGCTGCCATGCAATTGACACAACGATAGAGCGCGGTAGAGTACGTGCAGTCCTTGTAAGTGCAGGAATGGCGTGCAGTTGGCTCGACGGAATCGACACCGTGTTCGATCCGGACGTTTTCGTATCGGAATTCGGTTGGGAATGGGTACAATCAACCCTCGTGCAACCGGTGGGTTATCCTGGGGGGGGTGGAGCAGAACGCGGCACAAGTACATTTTCCGCAGCCACTCTGGCGACACATCCGTGCAAGATTTGCGTATGGCTTCAACATCATCGCTTCTTTTGTAACCTATCGTTCTTCTGCTGCCCCCCGCCAACACCTCGCGTCATGCGTACGAAGAACGAATCACACGAAGTGGTTCTGGCGGAACCGGAACCGCGCCTTGAACGAAAAGGCCGCCATCGCGTTGGTGACACCGCTGCTGGAAGACGCCTACGCCAGTGGTGGCGTGCTGGAGCCCGTTGGAACCGGGTTCCGAAACAGCTGCTTACGCGACGAGCCGGGAAAGAACGGCACGACGCTTTACAGGAGCAAGCGGAGGGCGGCGATTGAGGTATGAGCGAGGGCTATCTTGCCCCGTTTGACAGCCGAAACAGGGACGAGGCCCTGCTCGCGTGGCCGGTGACCAAACGAGTCAGCCTAGCTGATGAAAGAATGTTCCAAGGGTGTGTTCGGTACGGGACGGGTACGCTCGGTAGGTTATGGAGGGCTGTACCGATGCGTACCGGGCATTTTCTGTGGGTATGGAGGTCCATACCGAGGCGCACCGGGAAGTTCCGGTAGGTATGGGCCATACCGAGGCGTACCGGGGTTTTCGGTAGGTATGGAGGGCAATACCGAAGGGTACCGAGACGCTCGGTAGGGTATATACCGGCGGAAATACCGGCGGTTACGTCGGTACGTACCGCACCGAACACTCCCTTGGAGTTTTCGCTAGTTTGATAGCCGTCTGGACTCTTTAACTTGTTGTTGATACCGAGCCCGACACTTGGCGGACTGTCAACTCCATCATGGACGAACCCCACAGGCTACATATCGGCAGTTCACGACTCACTTCGCTTCGCCATGCCGCCTATTCCCACAACTGCTCAAGCGTGCACGGCCGTCTTTCCCCACTTTGCATCATGGTGCGACCGCCGCTACCTCGCACCGACGCAGGAGATTGGGTTCCTGACCCCCAAACCCGTCGTGTACGTCGCCAACGTGCCGTCGGAAGCGGCGCCGTCTAGCGATGAGGATGACGATGCCAACGACGACACCAAACCGAAAGAGGCATTCGAATCAGGGGAAGCCATCAGGAAAGTGGCCCTCGCACACGCGGACAAGGTGGTCAGTCTCAAACGCGATTACGGCGTGCCCGTCGTTGTGGGGTGCCTGAGAAATCCAGAAGGACAGAATGCTCTCGGAGCGGCGGTGAGATGCTTGGGCTGGCTGTGATACCGTGGGTGCTTGCTGTTTTTGTGTCTTTTTTTGTGAAGCTGTCGGAATTCTCTGGTCTTCCTCAAACTACCGTTATTTATGCCGCGTTCCATGAGTTGGCAGAGGCCCTGAGGCACGTGTGCAGTCGATGCAGAGTAGACCATAAGATGAAAAACATGCGTGTAGACCAGCCATCATGCTGCTTGTATACGTTCGAACGTCCCTCTACCAGGAACAACCCCCTGAGGCATCCATTGAAGCCATTCCTATGCTATTCCAGCAATATTGTAGGCACAGCAAACTCTACGAATACATCGCCGCAGGAAGAAAAGTGCCTTTTGTAGTTTCCAATGCACAATTTTCGCATACGATCAGCGATTGCTTTGCCGAGGCAGTTGCTGTAGTTAGACCATCTAACTCTTCAAACAAATTACAGTTTGTCGTGTCTCCTTGTTGTTTGCTTACGCACATCTCTATCGGAATACGAACGTCGGCGTTCCGTGCGCAGGTGTTCAAAGCCATCCCTCGGGACTTCCTGAGCCGCGATCCCAAGCTCAGGAAGAGCGCAAACAGTCCACGAAGCAAAACGCAACAGCGGACTCGGACTCAACAGCGGCGACGGTCGAGTGTAACCAAGGCACCTAGAACAGGATCGGTACCTGTGTAGGGAGGGATTACGGACTTTGCATTTAGAGATTTTTGGCCTCGTGGTAGCTTTGATTCCCTGTGCACGAAAGACGACGTTTAGAGAACATGGCCTCGTTAACCTCCCGTGGTGTTTAGTAAAAAGTGCTCAACTTTGGGAGGAGCAGAGCGAGGGAGACCCGCCCTCCGAAAGGTAGATTAATGGGCATGGACCGTGGACACATGAAGAGACAACTCTTCAGAAAATATTGAAACCACTCAATGTCCGCCAAAGCCCGTGCATAGAGCTCACGAGCTCAGAAACATGAAGTCAAGCTTAGGCGAGAGACGGCGCCAATCGATTGTGCAACGTGCTTGTGACTCGCGCCCCCGAAAGCAACGTCAACGGTGGAGCTGCAGTCTCCCTTCGTCATGTTATTAATAGTCTTTCGCAGCCCCAAGCTTGGCGTACTAGACTGCCGACACCGCTTGATTCGGCATCAAGTCAACTGCTGCGGCGAGAGGTCGCGAACGGCGAAGGTAGTGCACCGCCTGCAAGATTAGCGCGGAGCAAAGATAACACACTGCAGCTCCAGTTTGAACTAGAGACGAAGGTTATTAATACCGTTCCCAGCCTTCCACCAGCCTTCCAAACATCCTCGCCGCAAACTTTCCCGACTACCCACTGAGGACCTCCTTTAACTACAGGCAACGGTGGTGACACCCACTGAGGACCTACTAAAGCTACAGGCGACGGTGGTGCCAACCTCACGGACATAACACCATGCGCTGTGCTATCGCGGCTGCTGTTTGTCGCCATCATCCGCTGTTGTACCACCAGCAGCAGGGACGGCGGCATCGGCCTTTGCAAGCTTCTTTGCTTCCCTGACCAGCTGGCGGCACTTTTTGTACGCTTCGACCTCTGCGGTACACTCGTCCCCGTCCCGTAGTCCGTCGGCCTTGCCTTCCACGCACCTGTACGATGGTACCCTCACCGCGCAAGGAAATAACAATCAGCTACAATACGAGAACGGACGGAAGGATGAGTAGCGAAGGCAGCTCAGTTGTGCTGGCTAGGACACACAGGTCATCAGCAACGAGAAAAAAAAAGGCTGTTTCCGCCGTTGTTGCCACGAGTGTTCAACTGGTAGCACGGACGTCTGCGCATGTACGGCGTTGGTGAAACTTGTGAGCGAGGCTACTGGCAACAAGGACGGGGATACTGCAGATGACATCATTGCCGATAGAGCGTTGGACGCTCCCAAACCTGCTGGTAACGCTGACTGAACGAGGGACAGCAGTGCGTAGTGGGTACCATCGCCGCAGATGCCGCTGGAGGGACAATGTACGGTTGTGCAATCATGGGAACTCATCGACGTTTGATCTTCTGCCAAGCATTGGACGAAGTGATTCCAAAGTAGACCTCTCGTCGCGGACTACGGGCGGTGACTGTGCCTGAACTCACTAACCTCACGTAGGCGCCCATGGCCTCCAAACAGGGATCCTTCTCGGCTTCCTTTTTTTCTCTGAACCAATCGAACATGGTCCACCGGCGCTCCTGCTGACCCGCTGCGGACAGTAGAGGACAGGACGGGCGACGGGACAAGCTCCTGCTATCGCTCTATCATACGTTGCCTTGGGAGACCGCCTGCGTACGCGTGCTGCGGTGCGGCGTAACAACAATGTTGTAGGAAAGGGCTTGAGGACTTTGGGCGAGGCGAACTACCATGGTGCACACATGCATACATACATGGAACACCAAGTGAGAGCAGTGCTGTTGGCTTCTCTGCTGTGCCGCTCATCCTGGATTCAGCTTAACAAGTGTTATCTCACTCCAGACGCACGCATGTCCGCGAGGATGAACATAGTCGCGAGGATGCCCGTAGGTATCGAGTCATTCAGGTTGTTGCTAAGAAGCACGATGATCAACTTGACCACTAACCAGCGCTGCCTGTAAGTGGTCTACAGTGGTCATCGTGCTTCTCAACAGAAGCTACAATTGCCCGGGATTCGACCTCCTCATATCTCCGCCCTGCCAGGCCAACACGCCAGGCCAACACGCACAAAAGTGGGCATTTGGCCGGAGTCCATTCATTGGTTCCGTTTCGACATTCCTTCGAGAGCATCTACAGCAGTTTACCGTATTGTGGGATACACCTGTTGCGGGTATCGTCGTCTGTGAGTGAAACTGAGCGTTGCACACCCCTCTGTCAGGGCAAGTTTGAAGGTCAACCCTTTTCTAACGAGGAGGACACACTAGCAAAGCACAATCGCATTATCGGAAAGCTCTTGACAACACGTTCTATGTGTAGACAGCCAGTTAGCGTAACGGAAAAACAACAGCAACGCAGGGGGTGGTATACTCCGTCATACAGGTGTTGGTGTGCATGTTTTCCTAGATCTTTCCTGGCAACGCCTTCTTTACTCTCTTTGTTTGTCTATGCGCGTAACAACACTACGCACGGAGTTCTTTTCTGCTCAATGCCCCTCTGCCCCGATACACGTCGCCGTGCTCCTCCCGCTTTTGCTGAGCCGGAAACCGTTGCCAATACCGCTACCGGAACGACAGAGTATCGATAGTCTCTCTCGCAACTTAGGACAAGAAAATGGTGCACATGGTAGCAGGTGTGCTCACCTGTCTCACGAATGTGCTCAATGTGCTCCTGGCGCAGTCGGACTTTAATAAAGGTGGTCAACGGAGCAGGGAGAGACGGACTGCGGAGCAGCTTGCGGAATGTCACGAGGGGGCTCGCAGACTGCCCAAGCGCAGCAAATAGGTACTGTATTTGGAATTGAAAATCCAATACAGCGAGCCCCCCCGAACAAGCGTTGATGAGCATTTGAAGTGCATGAGCGATGCGTGCAGTCCACGCAGTGTGATCAAGGGCGGGTTCCGGACAGCTCTGGGTCCATCCTCCATGAATTGATCCAGTTTTCAGTCGTCTCCATCACGTTCGAAGAGGTTGCAAGTGTGTGTGCGCAACAAGGTGCCTCCCGGTTGCATATTGCGGAGTTCTGTATCTAGCCTAGACTACATACCTCACGGACGACTTGCCGGCGCGACTGTGACTCTGTAACGGAGCCAACCGCCAGAGAATATGGCGCACGCCCCGAGCCGGGCACCGACGCTACCAGAAGTTTCTCCGACTTGCTCCTACGGACTCCAATATCTCGAGGTACTTATGTACATTACACATATGTCCACAGGCTGGAGAATACTAGCAGTTGTTTGTTCGTTTAGCACCAACACCGGTGGTAGCCTCTCCACACCAGCAGCAAGTTGTAAATTTTGTGTCTCCGCTAGAATGGGACCCGACATGTGCTCAAAGGTGCGGTACTGTACCAGGGCTAATGAAGGCTCTGAAATATTCTGGTTTTGAACGGTGGTGGACCTTGCGATAGGATGCAATGGGAACTGGACACGTCATTTTATTGTTGGTCATGGTTGTCCATGCAGTCTCTTCGCGTAACGAGAACGCATTGCCATGTGTAGGGAGGACTGCGGCGTTGTACAGGTCTATATTGTGTGTAGTGCAGAGCGGATGGGAAGACAATGATGTGCCGTGGTCGGCGATCGGAGCGCTTTCTTTGTGGAGAGTGCCAAGACGGACACGGAGGCAGTCAGGTAGATGACTGCTCTGTGCTACCGTGCACATATACTTCTGGAGCAAGATTAATGGTGCGTGTCAGCCACGGCAGTGGACCCTGTTGTCGGTCTCGCAGGTGCGAAGGGATTTGGCCGGCTACATACCGGGCACCCGGCACGTTTTCAGAGCATGAGACAATTTGAATATTTCATCCGTGTCACGCCATTTCACCGGCCTTACACGGGGCGACTTGTGCAAACTATCAAATTGTGGCAAAGAAATAAGGTGAGGGACTTTGTTTTGTGTGCACGAAGCCGCATCGGCTGCTACAGGTTTCGCGTGCAGGAGTGTGGATACAAGATGCTTTCCCCGCAGCAAGGCGAGATACAGCGAAGGCAGGAAGAGTCATACGCGAGAACTTCAGATGGAGAAGTGGTGCACAGCAGTAATGCCGTGGGGTGGAGAAAGGGTATTCGACTACGGAACCAAGATGCCAGATATGGCCTACCCCTTCTGCACTGCTACAGCCCATCACCCGGTACCTTATGTCTGACACACGGCAGCGATGTACAGCAGTGGCGGAGAAAGAAGCACAAGAGACCAACAGCTGTGATTTATTGCTTGTGTTGCCGCTGCTGCCGATACCCCGCGGATCGAAAGTCACGCATTTGCTCCCTCCGTGCCTATCTGGTGACATTGTCAGGGCGAGATGCTGTCGTTGGTTGGAGTGGCGGCGGGCTTGAGGTCCTCGCTCACGTTGTCCACGTGCTGCGTCAGTTTGCGAGACACCCTTGCCTCCCCTGCCCTGGACGGGCAGCTTTTCGGCAGGTTGGGACCTCATCGTCGACGTCTACTGGCATCTGTTTCTTGGATTTGTGCTGTGCGGAGCGTGCTGTCTCCGAGAACCCTTTTTTGATGCCCACACAGCTCTATCAGGTTCCACATGCGACAACATAGGGTTACTCGACTTTGTTCCATATTGACGTCTGTCTCGTGGAAAGTTATTGCGTGGGGCGTACTCTCTCCGAAAATATTTTTTATTAACCCATTTATGTAGCTCTATCATGTTCCACTGCCATAGCGGGGGCGTTGTTCGACTTTGTTACATACCATACGAGCGTCTGTGTTTTGGAAAGTTGTTACGTGGAGCGTGCTCTCTCCGAGAAGACTTTTTTCAAGCCCACATAGTTCTATCATGTTCCACCTGCGGCAGCAAAGGGTTGTTCGACTTTGTTACATACTGGCGTCTGCCCCGAAAGTTGTTGCGTGGGGCGTAATCTCTCCAAAAATACGTTTGATCATGTTCCACCCGCGACTCTTGGAAAAGTGGTGTGTTGTGTTGGGCGTCCTCTCTCCGACAAGGCTTTTTTGCAGCCCGCATGGCTCTTACCATGTTCTACCTCCTGCGACAGCGGATCGTTGTTCAACATTGTTCCATGTTTTTCTGCCCTGTGGGTCCACATGTCTAACCCTCGTCATAACGTTCGCGTTCTTGAATCTCACGGCGGGGGTTGGGGAACCGCAGGCTTTACGCTACGCTGGCCGCAGTCGACGACCCCCTGGACGCGTTTCTCCAATCCCCACCTCGCTGCAACGCCACCGACCGACGAGGTATTCGTCAGCCGTACGAACCGGTCTTACCAAGGACTACCACAGTCCACAGCGTTCGCCAACTACACCGTCCTGACGCAAGGCCTGTCGGGCCGCCGCCCCACCCCCCGGAAGCACTGGCAGCGGAGCCGGGGAGCTATTTCGCCCGAAAACGAGCGCGATCATCACCCGGTCGCGGGGTTTCCGCTTACGAAGGCGTCGCTGGGGGCACCGGTGCCGGTCCACGCGAAGACGTGCCTGGTGCTACTCCGAAACTGCCGTCGGGAGACGTAGCAGGGGGTGTCGTCTCCGGATCAGGAGATGCGCAGCGGCGATTGGGCGCGCCAGCCGGAAGTGCGTGGCAGCAGCGGAAGACCTGGAAGACGCAGCTCAGGGGGGACCTGGTGACGTGCAGGAAGCCGTCAGAAAGGTTTTCGTTCGAGGGACAGCGGAGGTGAGTTCCGTACTGGTGTTGGTGGTGAGATCGATTTAGCTCTGGCCTGGTGGAGTGGCTGGCATGCGCGGGGACTGGTCGGTAAAAGGAAGGAACACGAAACGAAACGTTTCTCACCGCGTGTGATCTCCGCCGCCAACGCAGTAATTTCTTGCTCCCCCTTTTCCTCCTATGGCACGAGACATAGCAGTTTGGAAAGCGACGGAAGTTGAACTTGGTGCATCCTTGTCTAGAGTCAAACACAAAACGTCTTTGGCTCTGCTACCCCGCCCCGTCCATGATTGGAGAGAAGTTGCGGCCTCGTCCACAAGACGACTGCCACCCCCCCCCTCGTTTCAACAACTGAACAGCGCTTCCCGCGCACAACTTTGCGCCCTTCCTAATCACCGGGCCAAGGATCCGCACAGCTCCGTGTACCTCATCAAGTCGCGCCATGAGAGCCGCCAATAGTTGTATCGTATGATGATATCGAAAACCCACTGACTCATCAGCAGAAAGTCCAAACCAATCGCCCCCCATCAGTGGCCGACCAGCGCGTGTGGGTTGCAAACACCTGTTTGTTGTTCACCCTCTCCACATACACACATCTTTTCCACCGGCAATGGCGTCCTGTTCATGTTAGAGCTTTTGACGTTTCGTCTTGCGCGTTCGCCTTGTTGGGGAGAGATGTTCGCCTTGTTGGGGAGAGATGGGTGAAGCCGCTCCCGACATATTGCCCCTTGCATTTGTTGCGCTGACCGCAACGCTTAACTCAACCCTCGCTTGGGGCAGAGGGAAGCAAGATGTGCTCATGGAGGTTGTGGCTTCAAACCCTCCCATCGTCGCCATCACCTGCACCACCGAGCTGTCCCTCTTCAGCCTGGATGGGGAGCGTCTTCCCGTCGTCACTGTCCAGCAGCAGAGGTGGAAGCAGAGGCAGAGGCGTTGGCGGAATGTTGAGGGTGCCTGTCAGAAACGCGACAGCAGTGGCTTCGATGCCAGCGCTGCTGTTGGTGCTGTCGATGTTGCGGCTGGTGCTGGTGATGGTGGTAGTGCTACTTCCGCTGCTGCCCTCGATGTTGCTGCTGGTGCTGGTACTGCCCGCACGGCTGGTGCTGCTGGTGCCGCTGCCGCTTCTGGCGAGGGAGAAACCGAGAGCTTTGGTGCAAACTACAAGTGGCAGCGCGAGAGGGGGTCCTCAACCGGGGAGAGCGTCTACGAGCGAGATCGTGATGGTGAGGAGGCCGCGGAAGTCCACCAGAGGGATATTCGCTGTCTGGCTGCCTCTCCTGCGGGTGATATGGTGGCCACAGGGTGAGGGTCGAGACGATTTTCGTGAGCATGTACGATTTTATTCTTGTTGCTCGAGCATCATTTTTCAGCTTTAGCTTTTTGGCGGCGTGAACGCTTGTTGTCAGGGTCTTGTTTTTGTCGCAAACTACTGCGTGTGACAGATTTTTTGGACCGCGAGCAGAGTATTATCTTCGGAAGCTAGGATCAGAGCGGGACTTGCAGACGGTCCGGGAGGTTTTAAAAGACAACAAAATAACGTCGAGATGGAACCTTGGCTTCTTCGCCGTTCCAAACGTCTTTTAGAACAAAATACAAACATCGGTGCGAGCGCATCGACATCAGCAATCCGCCAAGCGATCTGTATCGTCTTTGTCAGAGACAGCAGTGTCAATCAAATGCTCACGAAAATGGAGTTCAAGACGAGGAGAGGAGCTAGGAGACACGTCGCTGAGTTTTCCATGAACGGCGACAAGTTTCCTCCCGAACGCTCCTGCCACCAGCATGCAAATCGTCGCCAGCACATGTGCTCATTACATTCAAGAGTAGCGTGGGACTGATGCTTTTTACCGTTGCGAGACTCAGGCCACTCGCTGGTTGCAGCCTTCTTCGTTATTGAGGAATGTGGATTTGATTCTTTTCCACGTTAGAAAACCGCTCCGTCCTCTCCCGGTACCTCCTCTTTCCTACACTTTCAAGGTAAAATAATGAAAGTCGGTGGTCAAGCGCTACCCCCAAAGAAAGGAACGCATACAGGTGCACCTTTGGTGGAGCTCGGGGCACGAGAATCAGAGGAACAGCACATGTAAATCTTAAGTTTGTCGCCGGGAACGGAATATACCGACGTTTATCGCAACCGAAAGAGTCAAAATACATAATTGTTGGAAAATCAGGGCTACGTAGCACAGATATTGCCCCATGGGGTTGCATGACCCTGAGGTTTATTTTTACCGTCATACCCCATAGGGTTTCGCGTACCCCGCGGTGTTTGCCATCGAGGTTGGGTTTCCGTCGCTTGGCAACGACGTTGTAAAACAAGCCAATTCACTTCGTGAACTCGGCAACCAGGTTACCGTTTTTTTTTTACCTCCGTTTTTTTTTTTGGCGGTAACCATAATGGTGGTCGAGTAGATCATGTTGTGCGGGGTGGAGAACCCTCACTCCGCGCAAGGGGGATGATCGCACCACGTTGTGTTAATTTGGTCAAGCACCCTCGAGGCAGTTACACAGTGCTCTAACTGTCTCTGGAAATGAAAGCACCAGAAAGTAAATTAAGTCATCCGCAGCTGTCATCCGTATGCAAGGAAGTAAGCACAAGATGCCGAACACCCTTAGCAGGATGCAGCGCACCCTTCATGCGACTCGCCGAATATCTCACGGCGCTTCGCGCTTGGTGATGTGAGAGCCTGGTCCGGTGAGAACCCGGCGTGCTCCGTCCCGGNTTATGCGGTATTTTCTTTTTTTTTTCAGGTCCCTCGACTGCACGATCCGGGTGCGTTCGGTGCCCGCCTGCGAATGGGTAAGGCGGCTACGGGGGCACGAGAGTGGAGTGCGGTGCTTAGCTTTTCACTGGACTGGAAGGTGCGAACAAAGCCCCAAAGACCCGCGTGCCCCGCCACCTCCTCCTGTGCTTTGCTGCCAGCGTAACGAGCCAGCCGCAAGCAAAGTGGTAGACGGCACCGACACGAGAGACGTGGTCACCACAACCCTCCCGGAGAATACGGCCAAATAGAAATTGATTCCGTGGGGTGGGGAATGGTTCGGCTCGCCTGCAGAAGAGTTCATGCTTTGGTGCAAGCAGCGGCAGGAACAAGATGCCGCTGAACCGTTACTTTTTGTGGGTCATCTCTGCGCCTGACATTTCCCAGCACGCTCGTCGGCCAATCTGCTCTTGAGCTGTTGTTTGGCAGGGATGAGAGACGAGAGGGTAGCGTTGCTGGCTGATTCGTTTTGCATTCTACTTGGCACGTCGGCCAACATGAGATGGGAGCGTTTCATCCCGCCTGCTTACTTGATGAACCACAGGGGCTGTTGGTTTTCGAGTATCTTCGGCTGAATGATTTTGTTTATTGTGTGTCCAAGTTCCCCTTTCGGCACACATTGATCATACCCCCCTCCCCCCCCC